CAATCCCCTCGTGACGGTGACGACGGCGTATAGGCGGCAGCAGCAACAGCAACAGCAGCAGCAGAGGAACGCAACGGTACGCAGCAGCAGCAAGGCACGGAAGCCGCACTGACATACATACATACATACGAGATACGAGCATCAGCATAGCACTCCAGAGCTCTCAGTGTCAGTGTCATCACGTGACTCCTAGGTTACGTATCCTACCTGCCCACCGGGCCCTTCCTGCCCTACCGCACACACTACCTACTCTGCCCTTCCTGAGACTCTCCCCCCCTTTCCCTCCTTTCCTTACCTCCACTTCCCTGATAGACAGCACCCCGCGGACCCGTCCCGCAACATCAATAGCACACACACAACCTCAATATCCCCCCAACCCTACCTCAATACCCCCCGTGGCCTGCCAGCCCTCGGCCGCAGTTTCGTCCCGGCTCTTGAGCAGCTGGAAACACTCCTCGCTGATGTGGATGCTGCCGGGGACACCAGTGCTCTCCATGCGGCTAGCTGAAGGCGGGGAAATGGGGGGGGGAGGTGTGTGTGTTTGCGAGGGGTGCGAATGGTCACCACTGCGTGTTGGCGCCTGGTGGTCCTCACCCGTGTTTACTGTGTCTCCAAACAGACAGAACCTCGGCATGCGTGTTCCCACCACTCCGCTGACCACGGGCCCGCTGTGTATGCCCACGCGGATCTTCACGGGAGCGCCCGTGGTGGGGAGGCGGACACACGCTGCAGCACGGAGCATTGCCTGGGTGGAGCACGAGGGGGGCAGGAGAGGGACGTTACCTAGGGACCTAGGGACTGTGGACCTGTCGGGCTACCTGGTTGATGTGAAGCGAAGGATCGACTTTCCACCATAGTCCGCAACGTCGATAAGGACGTCCAAGGAGTCAATACAACATTTCCTACACACCCGCACCTTTGCGAATCCCACCACATTGGCCGCCTGGTCCGGGTCCACAGTCCCCCCTCCCTGGACTGCCGCCATGCCGTCCTCGTCCTCGCGAATAAGGCCCCCGGCGACCATGTAGCAGTCGCCGATGGTCTCAACCTTCAAGCGTGAGTGGGGCCCGGTCAATCGAGGGTGTGGAGACGGGCACAATACGGGCGATACGGGCGATGACTCGATACGGCACTCTGGATTGTCCTGCGCCTTATCCTGTTACCGTATAAGCATATTACTGAAGCTGTCAAGAGGTGCGTCACAGAATCATTCCTTTGCACGTGTACATGTAAGGCTGGACTTTCGACACTTTGTTGTTCTGATTGCCTCTCGGACTCAAAACATTTATCATCGCGTTCTTGTTGGTAAACCTAACGTGGTAAACCTACAGTATCACATGTATGCGCCATGCTTGGAGTTCAGCCGTATTCGGCGTATCGAGCAGCATTCGGCGCTCACACTTGAACACATTCGGCCTCATGCTGTGCACAGGCTGTGCACCAAGCATGGAGCCGTTTTAAGCAGTTTAGCGCCGCGCACAATAACAGAGGGAAGGGAACTAACAAAGCGTCTACCGGCTCCGCTTTTTTCCCATTCTATGTCTCCATCCCTACCAACAATCCACGTCTATCGCCCTCGGCCCCATGTACTATCTTTACTGGTCTAACTCTTCTGACAGTTCCTAAAGCTGAAAACCGTCAACCGACAGCCGGCTGATCATCCCTAACAAGCAGCCTGCTAAACATCGCCAACGGACCCTAACGGATACCACACCTTGTACACCCGGTAATGGTCCAGCATGGCGTCAAAGCGCGTGAAGAGGGTGTTCAGGAACGCCATGACCACGTCAGCTGGCAGCACCTTGCACAGGGGTGTGAAGCCTGGGGCCCAGGGAGTCACACACACACGTCATCAACCCAGGGAGGATCGGGCAGATGGCCGGTAAGCCTGTGTTATATTATAGGGAAGGCGCGTCAAAAGAGCAGATCGTTCATATTGTCAAAACGGAAGGCGATGGAAGAAGGCCTTCACTTTGGCCAACCTTGGCAAGAGCGGACCGAAAGCACTTTGCAAGGAAAAGAGAGCTGTGGCAGACACAGCAAAAAACGGAATCGTCGCTGCTGTGCATTCCCCCGTGTGCGTGTTTTGTCTGTCCGTCTGTCTGTCTGTATGCCCGTCTTGTTGTTAGAGGTAAAGAACGCACACGCGGGTTGATCGCCTGTGATGGCCTTGGCCGGAAGTAACGAACAGAAGTGCCAGACATCGCCAACGGCCCCAAAAACTCAACGAACCCTCCCTACCCCTACCCCCAACCCCAACCCTACCAGTACCCACCTTGGATGTCCGCGAACAGGACCGTCACCTGCGAGACGGGAGATATTTCAAGGGTTGAGAAACCGGGTGAAAGGGTAATTTACAAGAACCACGACTGTCAAGTGCCAAGTTTGAAACCGCGAACCGGGCCAGCAATATATTCCCAGGAATAAGGGGGCATTAATTCGGAGGCGCTGATGGTATTCAGTATCCACTCACTTCTATCTCGGGACACTGCACTCGGGGTTGCGCGTGAGATGCAGTCGCAGCAGCAGCAGCAGCGCTACCAGCAGCAGCCAGCGGAGAGGTGACACAGCAACTCCAAAGCCAACCATATCAACCAACCAATCAACCAACCAACCAACCAACCAACCAATCATCTGGGTCACAAAAAGATGCACTTGACTGTTGACCCACGCTCAAACCCGGGACGTTTCCTTCCCTCTCTGAAGCCACAAATGGGGCGTTGTGGACACACACACATACACACGTACATACACACATACCCCCCACCTGCGGGTGCCATGTCGCTAGGCGATTACAGTCACTGACGTGTGGTCGCCAGCGTGCGGCGGCGGCGGCTGCATAACTTGCCTCTCCGTCCTTTCCTGGGATTTCCCTCTCCGGCTTGGAAGCAGACTTCCCCGACCACATACCCGACTCCTCCATAATGTACTGCAACACTGCATGTGTATCGCCGGGGAGGAGTGAGGATTGGGGAGGGGGGTCAGGAAGACGTACATACGTATGTACGTACAGACATAACACATGTATACACACACGCACGTGCTTGCGGCTGAAGTTGTTTCTTAAAGTCGTCGTCTTGATAGGAAGCGTCCCCAAGGAATGCGGCACGCAGTTCCCGCGATTACGTGCAGGCCCCCCATCCCATCCCATCCCATCCCATCCCATCCCATCCCATCCCATCCCATCCCATCCCATCCCATCCCATCCCATCCCATCCCATCCCATCCCATCCCATCCCATCCAATCCCATCCCATCCCATCCCATCCCATCCAATCCAATCCCAT